GTGCAGCCTTCACCACTCTCTGCAAAGCTTTTCTTTCTGCAGCTGTGCAGCCTCCATGTCACACGTTGATGCTGGAGCACAGGATGCTCTCCACTGCACACCTGTAGAAGGAGGTGAGGACTGAGCTTCCCAGACCAGCTCGTCTCAGCCGCCTGAGGAAGTAGAGTCTCTGATGAGCTTTCTTGATCAGGCTGGAAGTGTTGTTGCCCCAGCTGAGGTTGTCAGGTGTGTTTGCTTCTTCTGAAGTCCACGACCATCTTCTTCGTCTTCTTCACATTAATGTGAAGGTTGTTCTTCCTGCACCAGCTCTCCAAGTGTTCCACCTCCTGCCTGTAGCTGGACTCATCATTGTTTGTGATGCATCCAACCACCGCTGTATCATCTGCAAACTTTACAACATGACAGCCTGGACGGGTAGGTGCACAGCAGAGTGAACAGGAGGGGCTGAACACACAGCCCTGAGGGGAGCCAGTGTTGAGTGTTATGGTGGAGGAGGAGAAGCTGTGGATCCTCAGAGACTGTAGCTTGTTGGTATATAAATAAATATGTAAATATTTAATAATGATGTATATGTAAATTTTAATAATGTAAATATGTATGTAAATATATAGACATATCCACTCATGCTGATATATCTGATAAAAATGTAAATACAAGCAAAAAAAAAAAAACCATAATCATAGGCTCATGCAAAGACTAAAGTTTTTACCTTTTTCCTAGAAATACCAGTCCTTTAGGGCCTTTTCCACAATCAGTGGAAGTGCATTCCATTTTACTGGAGCACAAACACAGAAGGCAGCTTTTCATGTTTTGGAAAATGTAGAAGTTAGAGCTATGTCACTGTGGTCTGCTGACTGGAGTCATATGACTGGTGCTTTATCAGTCAACATGTTTTCATGTTGTGGTGTAAGACCATTTAATGCTTTATATTCCAGTAGCAGGATTGTGATTCTACTTGGAAAGCCAATTCAAAGGTCTAAGAATGAATGTAGTGTTCAAAGAGGTACCAGTGAGAATCACTTTTTCAACCAGCTGTAGTTGGTTTAATTCACATTTTGGGAGGTCTGTTAAAAAAAAAGGCCAATAGAATAATCCAGTCTGCTAGTTATGAATGCATGAATTAATTTATGAACTCAGACTAATACAAGCTCTAAGTTTTAAGAAATGTGCCTCAATTGATAAAGAAGCCAGTTTACTGATGTGGTTAATTTGACTTTTAAAGATTAGGTCACTCTCTAGTTTTATACGGAGGTTTTGCGTTTCTGTTTTAGACTCCAGAGGAAATGTTTGCACTGAAAATGAATATTTCTGTTTTATCTTGGTTTAGTTGCATCAAGCTGTGTGACATCCACACACTGATGTCATTTATTCATTATGTAAGAGAGTCGAGGGGATCTGCGTCATCAGACGGTGAGGAGATGTACAACTGTAGATCATCTGCATAATTTTGATCAGAATGTCATTTACAAGTGAGAATGTATAAAAAATCAATCCAACTTGACTGGACTGTCCATAACTGTTTTACTTCAACATTGAGTGTCATATATTCTGAAGGGAAGAGTTTGAACTCCAGTGTTTGAGTTTGATTTTACTGCTGCTTTCTGCACTCGCTCTGATCCACCACGGGAATTCTCCCTCATCACCGTGGGCTATAAAACAAACTTATATCTATATGTGTTGGGTTTTAATTTGATTTTTTTCAGATAAAACAACTGATTCAACTAAACGCTTCACACTCGCACCGAACTGTTCAGTAATGATTAGCTTCAGCTCATCGGACTCGTTTGAACCAAATCAGTCTCCATCAACAAATCAAAGGGCATGAATGAGTAACGATGGAAGACTCTCACGGCAATGTGATCACCAACAACCCCACCCTTAATTTTTAATTTCCTTGTCCTTCCTTTTTATTTTGCCCCCCGTTTTTTTTATCCCCTCATTTGCATTCCTTCATATCAAAACCTCTTTACTGAAAACATAAGCAGTAAAACGTCAAGGACAGTGATCAGACAACAAAACCCACAAATGACAGGATGTGTGATTAAATATATGCCCAAATGTTTTTATAATAAATGTGTCACTCGTAGCAACGGCGTGATTGTGACTGGTTCGGCTGGAGTCTGTTGCCATGGCAGCGTGTGTACAACCAGTGTTTGAGGAGTTCCCCCCTCAGTGAGTCATCAGCTGTCCTCACAGAGCAAATTAACATCTTCAGCATGTTGACAAAGACATGAGACCTCATACACAAAGAAAGGTCTGCTGTGCATGTGTGTGTGTGCGTGCGTGCATGTGTGTGTGCGTGCGTGTAAAAGAGACAGAGGGAGGGACAGCGGTACAAGGAGGTGGAAAGAGGACAGACAGGAAATGGATTATGAGATCAAGCAGCAGAGAGGCTTGTCTGGGGTGTGGCCTGAGAAAGTGGGCGGGGCCAAGGTGGGCGGAGGGGTATTTTCTCACGTTTTTAGACTCAGCCTGAAATTAGTATCCTTGAGAGCAAGAAGGAATTAGACTTGAAGAGACACACAGACATCTAAAAGTAAGTCACAGAATGTTCTTTTGGTTCTCGGACTCATTTTTTTCTGACTTTAAAGCTGGAGTTTAAACAGAATTTACTGTTTTACTTTGTTATTTACGAGAAGCCAATGATGAAAACCAAACTTCACCTGTTGATCTCAGTGAGCTTTACTCTAACATCAGCTTCATTCTGGACAGGTTGGATTCACTTCCAGATGTTTTAAAGTGATTACTTTAGTCAAACTAAAAGCAGCTCCACTTGTGCTCTCTGGTGTGACTCGCATTTTATGTGATTTCCATCAGCCAAATTAAAATATTTTTTCTGTGGAAACTTCAACAACAAAGCCAGATTTGTAATTCCCTGCAGGGAAATTAGGCAAACTTACATTTTCTTTCATTTTTTTTAGTAAAATATAATTGTAAGTTTGAATGAAAGCAACTTTTTCTGTCCTATTATTTTTACATTAAAGCTGGCTGAATATCTCGTCTGTTTGTGTTTTGAAGCTTATTGCTCCAGGCTGCAATCACACATGTCAAACACTCGCAGACTTTCTGTGCAGCGGCGCGGCCTGACAGCAGATGAAAAGGTTGTGGAAAAGCTGTGGCGGGCCTGATCACATGCACGCCAGCTCGGTGCCCCGTGTGCATGAGAGCAGCAGAGTTAGAGTGACACGGGTCATGCCAGAATATGTGTGTGAAAGGACCCAACCCTTGACCACTCCTACGCCGAGCACAGAACCAGCACATTCCAGTCCAGACCTCTCCCAGTGAGACTGGATTAGAACAAAAACAGCTCATTTATTGATATTTTTATTATTATTTTTAAATCGGTGTTGCTTTGTAGGGCAGCTGCACCCGTTTCAAGCCTGTATTCAGAGCGGATCAGCTCGGCGGGAGAACAGTGTGTTTTCTACAGTTATTTTAGGGAGTGGCAGCTTTCCTTCAAGCATCAGACAAGCCCATACTCATCCATCGTCCATCAACGTCTCCACTCTACTGGTTCCTCTTTTCCCTCCCCATCAACGGCAAATTGTTTGCACAGAACCCAACTGTACTTACAGTAATCCATCAGCACCTCTGCATATGCCTCCCCTCTGATTCACGATCCTAAACTTTGTTTGGAGAGCACGTTGGCCATTACTCACAGTAATTAGAAGTTAGGAGGCCACGCCCTGGGTTTGTGTGCTCATTTGTGGAGTTTTAACATGAATGACGTCTTTTATGACAGCCTTGTTGGGTTTAGCCGGTCGTGAGTTTTATCCATCCAACATATAAGTAAACCTTTTCTCTGATTCTCCCTCCAGCATCGTCATCATGCTGGTCGTTCTCGGTGGGATCTTCGTCCTTCACATCGCAGCCATCATCCTCCTCCTGGTGGCCACCATTGACAATGTAAGTGTTTCACTTCATCGTCACAGCATCGTCGGGTCTTGTTTGAGTGATGTGTCTTCAGGGACACGGTGGATGACGGACGGTTCGCACTGACACGTGTTTGCCTGCGCAGAAGCTTCATTCCTCTGTTGTTACCGGTTCTGTGTTCCTTTCCGGGCCACATGCTTGACATTTCTGGTTGACAGCTCAGCCGAACACGGTGTCAACACCGCAGAACTCATCTGTACATGCTGCGAATGCAACAATCTCAGATTCCCATCGGTGTTGTACTGAATGTGGCATACATGCAGGATGAGGTGTCGAACACAACGGTTACCGGAACATGTGCATTCCTCCTTTAGGGTGTCATGCATTGGGATTTTTCTCTTTGTAGCTCGCCCAAATGTGAACTCGTTTCTTGCCCACTTGTTAACACTCTGCAGAAAAGTTAGTGTTGATAAAGCAGCTGCAGGGTTTTGAAGTTTTGTTTGTCTGCCCTTTCCTTCAGGCCTGGTGGGTAACTGATGACATGTATACTGATATCTGGGCTCGCTGGGTGAACATAAACGGAGTGTGGAACTACACCGAGCTCCCAACAGACACATTCTACCCAACAGGTAACAAACATCTGGCAGGTTAAAGCCGTGCATCCCAAGATAAATCTGCCTGATGTTTTAAAAGAACAACATCTGTGTCCTGTTCGTGTTCAGCACGAAAAACTGCTGTCAAGATAAAAGCTTTTAGGTTAGATAATAATAAAAACTTGTACAGACAACAGGGATTGCTAACGTAGCATGTGTTAAACGTTTAGCCTCAAAAAGTTCGAGCTGTTTGCTTCAGGGTTCTTGTGGAGGCTGTTCGGTCAGATTTTCCAGCTGCATTATGTCATTGTTCAAAATGCAGCCTAAGAAAGGCGGAGGAATATGTTTGTAAACAAGCAAAAAGAAAAACTTGTGTTATTAAAATAAATAAATAAATAAAAATACATACATACACACATATACATACACACATATATATACATATACATACACACA